CATAATCTCTTGGAGGACATGAAGTACGTCTTGATCAGCTTCATGTCTTTCGTGCTCAGCACAATATCTGACACAGAGAAGATGCCCCAAACATTGGCTGAGTAAATGAATTAATTATGGAACTTTTAAAGCCACATGATACATTAGAAAATGTGCAGGAAGGAAGAACTGATAGAATAAACTTTAGAGATTAATGGAAATATGTGATTTCTAAGGAGACTACATATTTACCTCCCAAATAGAGATAAACATGGTCCAGAACCCTAAGTCAGTGGGCAAACTCTTCATAAATCCCAGGAAAATGTGAGACACTTCCCAGCACACCAGAGAGCTCACAGCTCCACTGGAGCTGGAGGTCAGCATTCCCTTTAAGCGTTTGGTTTCTTAACCACTCACTCATCACAATGTTAACAACAAGCTCCATTCATGCTAATAGCATGTATTGGATAATCACTGTTGATCTACCCTTCATTGTGCAAAAAAGATACATTTTAAGGGAGAGGATTTGAAACTAACATCACAGCTAAAACTTAGTTATAAGAGCACAAACCCTCACTGAACCATAAATGTCCTTGATCTGGGAATTTCTAAGTCCAGAGATGCCATACTTAACACTTGATTATATATACATCTCTGCTGGCAAGGACTGGCTTTCTAAACAGAAAACATTTTGCCAGATCTGACCTGGCAGATAGTTTTGAAGTAATAAATAAAATTCTCTGCACTGTCACCCCAGGCACAAAAAGTTCTCACGGTATTTCCTGGTTGTCTGGGGCTGCCCACCCGCTCTGTTCCCCAGACAGATCAACCTCCTAATGCAAAGCACGGTGCCCTGACTGCTCTTCTGTGCTGATACTTATCTGTCTGCTTCCCAAAGCCTGTGAAGACCATTTGCTAAGTTAATTTACACTAATATCATACTGAATAATAATTACAGGGGAATCTACATTTTTAACAGGAGAGTGTTGATATGTAACGCCTCACCCTGAGGGCCAATCTAATAAAGGGACATTTCTCACTGTTGCATGTACCGTCCATGTCTTTCCATACCTTGGTGCTTCAGACATGCTGAATGAACCTTCCACCTAGACTGACCTGTCTTACCCACTTTCCCCATCTCCAATGCAGTGAACCCATACTTTAAGACCCATCTCAATGTTTCTCTTATGCTTAGGGGCCTTCTCTAAACTCCCCAGGTTGAGCTGGTCACTCCCTCTTGACTTTTTATAAAACTTTGCATACTTGCTGTCTCAATGTCTTTAGTTTTTTTTGCATTCTTCAACTGACTTCAGGGTGACCTCTGCCCCCCAAACTCCAATGCAGCTAGTGACTTCCCTGTCTAAACCAAGTAGACATATTTCAGTCCTTATCATCCTTGACTTCTCAGCAACCCCTGACACTACAGGGGAAAAAAGCCTTCATCGCTTTTATTTTCTCTATTCCCTCTTCTTAAACCTCTCTGCCTTGGCTTTCTTGTAGGACGGCCTAGACTTGTTTCTCTGTCTCTCGCACCCTTCTTTGTCGGCTCTTCGCCTGATCTCTAAGTGTTGGAGTTCCTTATGGCTGTGTCCTGGCCTCCTTTCCTTTCTCACGCTCTCATCTCTCAGTAAGCAAACTCTTCCACACCCACGGCATCAACTAGCCTCCATATGCTGACGACTCCCACATTTACCTGTGCAGCCCAGGCTGCCACCCCAAGCTGCAGACTTCCGCACATTGCTGCCGATCCCCTGTCTCTACCTGGCGTTTCTCAAGTGCTCCCAACACAGCAGGTTCAAAAAGCCCATTGTTCTCTGCCTGAGAGAACAGTCCCTCCATCCCTGAGGTTGGCTGAACCAGAAACTGGGACTCATTGTTGGCCTACCCACCTCTCCTTGACCACTGTGTCCAGCTGATCATCCTACTGATCATCTCCCTTCTCAATACTTCTCTCACTGTTGTCGTCTCTCCTGAACGGGCACCCAAGGTTATCACCTGACCATTCCAGTTGCGTGACTCACCAGCCTGCATCCACGTGATGCCTCCACACCACTTTCTATACAGCAGGCAGAGTGTTGTTTGAGGACAGATTCATTCATTCATTCATAGGAAGAAAATTAATTCAGGCCCTACTACATGCAAGTTGTGACCAAGACAGGTGGTGCCTAACCTCCTGGGACTCTATTAACAGCGCACAGAGGGGCTCTAAGACCGTGACGGCAGCTCTGCGCTCATTCCTTAGGAAGATGCTCCTGTTCCCAGTGTGCGCGCGCGCGCACACACACACAAACACACACACACACACACACACACACACACACACACAGCCGCCGTGATGGGCCATTTGCCATTCGTGGGGGCTGAGAAAACAGTGGGCAGAGTTTGAGACAGAGTGGAGGAGAGGCGGCAGACACTGCTGGGCACAGCCAGGCCCTGGCAGGCGGCGACTTGAACTGGGGGGTGTTCAGACGGTAGCGGCCCCCACAAAGGCCCCTCCCTTTCCCAGAACCCCCGATGGTGTACGAAAAGCCACGGGAGGCACTTTGGACTTTGCCTAAAAGTGGTGAGATGCCATAGGAAATCATTAAACCAAAAAGTAACATGGCCGGACTGTAAAATCTACAGGGCAAGGATTTTTATCTCGTTTGTTCACTAATGTGCCCCAAGCACCCAGAACAATACCACGCACAGCGCTGGCACTCCATTAATAATTGATGAATGAATTTCTATTATGTTGTACTGCCTTATTTTGCAATCATGTGCTTAATGTCTCTCCCTTACAAGATTCAGTCCTTGAAAACAACTGTGTCTTACGCACTTTTACATTACCAGAGACACGGTATTAGTGCCAGCACAGAACACATTCATTCATTCGGCCAATAATTCCCTGCACCCAGTGATAGGGCAGGAGCAGAGCATGGGAGTGGACACCAGAGGCCAAGTCCAGGGTGGGGCGAGCAGGGGCCATGTGAGAACTGCAATCGGCCAAGGAAGTCTGGGCAAGATGGAGCTGCAGAGATGGGCCAGGGCCATAGAGAGTGTGGGCTTTGTCCTAAGAACAATGGGAAGTCACTAACATGGGTGATGAATCAGGAGAGCCATGTAGTCAGATTTAACAGAGACTACTTGGGCTCCGGAGTGGGAGAGTGGATTGGAGAGGCAGGAAGCGTGGCAGTTTGAGATCCAGGAGTTAGGAGAGATGATACTGGCCTACGGTAAACCAGAGGCAGGACAAGAGGGAAAAATGGATGGATCTGAAAGATATTAAGGAGGTAGGCTCAACCGGAATTAGTGACTAGTTAGACGTTAGGATGAGGATGATGCAGTAGCCATGGATGAATCCCAGGTTTTAACCTGGACACCTCCAGTGGGATGCCTGCCTGGGTGGCTTTGGCATCAGTGATGCAAACTCAGCGAGTTGGAGCACACCTGAAAAATGTTTCTCAAATGTTGCTTTGTTTGTATGGATAAATTTGTGGGCTTATATAGTTCGGAACACGGACTATTTATCTATGTTAGGAAGCACCCCAACTGATCACATACTTGCTTTTGAACCCACTAGTTTTCTATAAACCAGTGAACTTCCCAGACCTCACTAGTTGCCTTGTATACATTATGAAGATGTTTCAGTGAACTCACTGCAATAAAATTAAAGCTCTGAAGCTTGTAACAAAACTCTGGTTGACTCTAGCAAAGAAGAAAAAGAGAACAAAACTATGAAACCATCAGACCAACCTGTACACCCATCTTCTCTTCTTCCCAGTGTAACCTGACTTGATAGAAGTGGGGATAATTTCATTTGAATGGAAAGCATACCCAAGCACATTTTTAGAAAAGCTAGAATTTTACCAAGTACTTTTTCTTACAGCTACACTGAAACAAATTCACCTCCCAGATAAAGAAGTTGGTTTTTGTGCTTTGGGTTTTTATGTTGCTATTTCCTTACCTTTACAGCAGACCTTTCAAACTTTTGTATATCTAAGCAAACCAGTTACTTAATGAGCAGCTCTAATTATTTTCTCAGAGTTTTAGTGTTCCATATAGCCAATGTCTTGGTTTAAGCCAAAGGGAATTTGTGGTTTCTGAGATCAGAAATTCAACTACTTTCTAAAATGCAAAACTGGTGATGAAATTAGGTGTTTGTAGAACCAATCTTTGGCTCTAAGTGGTACTTAGCTGCTTTACTGATACTTCCATTATTTTGTAGTAAAAGCATGTCAACAATAACAACCTGTATCTATAACAAAAGAAAAGAATAATGTTGGAACTTCTACTAGATATTCTGACAAGTCTTGCTTAAAAATATGTATCTTATTCCATTTTCCTCCAAAGAAAGAACAGAGAACATGGAAAAACCTTTTCTCCCATCTAGTGGCTGGAAACTATAAAAATGTCCTCCATGCCTGTCTTGGAATTCCAGGCATTAGGGATTGTCTGACATCGAGTTGTTCGCTCGGTTAAACAAAAATAAATTCTAAAATCTTTACCAAAGCTGAGCCCAATGGAGAAATATATGTCCATGATGATTCACTAACCGAATTCTCTTTAGTCAGTAACATAATTCTCATCAAGCAGAAAGGTGGTCATGGTCCCACCTTGTTAATCTGAACCTATAGTTTAAAAAAGGTAAGACTGCATGGTTCTGCTCACTGAAAAGGTGATGTAATTATATTTGCCTCTAAAGCTGTCAGTGCCCTGGATCTCTCCTGACCCTTAATGGCTCGTAGTTGGCCCCACCTCTTGACAGCTCTTTTTCTCAAGAGCTGGATGTGCTGAATTCGCTAAAGAGAGCCAAGAAACTGTCCCTGAACCTGGCTGCCTCCAGGGGCCTCAGCTCCTGAGAGCCGGAATGCCAGGCTCCGCTCCGGCCGCAGGGCCTCGGAGCAGGGCTAGCCCTGCCGCAGGAAGGCAGGTTTGGATCCGCTCGCCGCTCGGGGGGTTAAGGCTTGGTCTATCCTCTGTGCCTTGTGCAGATACCAGAATCTCTGCTGAACGCTGCTTCTCTCTGGTTATTCTCACAGATTCAAAGAATGAATTTCATGTGCAGTCAGCAAAGTTCTGAGAGATCCAGAAAGAAGAGGAAGGTCAGCGAACCAGTGAAAGTCTTCATCCCTGACAGAAAGTGAAACTTGGCTGCCTTTGCTACTTTTATTCTAAAATAAGTCCATTTTGCAACAAGTGTGCATGAAGTGTCTTAGTAGGAAAGTAAGTTTCTATCACCGAAACCCTTTACTAAATGTACTGCTCAACTTTCTGTGTCAGTTCACTAAGTGCTGAATGACCAGGTAGGACATGGGTTCACTTGGCCACAAGGAAGCGAGGTCACCAGGACTGCTTGGGCCAGCATTGCTTTGAGGCGGAGTTAGAGATGAGACACCCTTTATAGCTGGAAAAGAACCACAGCAGCTCTTTGGAAGAGAAACAAGCTGTCCTTCTCAAGGGAAAGAGGGTTTTCTTTGCATAATTCAACTCCCCAGGTACTCAGACGACCGCAAAAGGTTTTAACTTGTTGTAACCTGTGTGCTGGAATCCCTCTGCAGTTCATTAGAATTCCCACAGAATCACATAGCGTGTGTGTGGCTGTGCTGATCCAGGTGTGATTTCTGTGTTAACTTCAATCACGAGGTTAATCAGCTAAGTGTTGGACCAAAGTGTAGTCTCCCTGTAGAGTTCCCCAAAGCCGGCCCTGCGCCGTCTTCTGCTAGCCAGCCCAAGACGGGAACCGGCTGCAATGCAGGAGCCTGGTTCCCTTCCGAGAGCCCCGCTCATCAGTCTGTAACCTGCAGATAAGGCCCCCAGTCCTCCCGTCCTTCTGGAAGAATTCTAATAGACTTAATGATTAGCATCAGATGAATAATAAATGTCAGTGTTATGTGAATTATTTATATACCATAAAATTTAATAACTTAATTTAAATGGATAGGACCAACAAGTTAAATGCTGTAAGTGTGTGTGTTTTCCGGTTAAATAAAATCAAAACACAAGGTATTTTTTGGCTCGTCTAGTTTTCTTCATTCAGATCAGTGTAGTGAGGACATCAGGACCTGGAGTGCTTGTTAGGCCTGCCTCATTTCTATTCATCAGAACCCCAGGGGGTGGGCCCTCTGGAGAACTCCCTGGGTTCTAATGCACAGGAAAGACTCAGAACCCAGGGCAGACCTCTGATCTGGGCTGAGAGGAGACTCCCAGGGGCCAGACACGCACTCAAGCCAGCAGCAGCCTGTGGTCGTCACACTCCCCTTCAGGAGGCTCTCCAACTTCCGATTGCCCACAGGCAGCCCCCCAGCTGGGGTCCTGAGCTGGGCTGTAGCCCCAGGCCTGCCGGGGAGGAGCGAGTTCCCTTTCCCCAGCACGTGGCGTGTCCTCCCATGAGCTCGCCCTGCCGCCAAGAGGAGCAGGAGGGGGAAGGTACGGGCTTATTATATCCTTGAGAGAACCGGAGCCTGAGTCACCAGAACTTCTTTTGAGAGAATCCTATGAAGAGATTAGCTGTCTAGTGGAGGGATTAGGCTTGTTTTGTGTCTCTCAGAGCACAGAGCTCAGAGCAGACTGGCGAAAGCTATAGGAGGTCACTCATGCTCCGTGTCAGGAGGAACTTACTCCACAGGGTGTCAGAAATCTGACAGGGCGAACCCTGTGAGGCAGTGAGCCTGCCTCGGAGCCTCAGGTGTCTGAACACCAAGCAGCTTCCTCAATACCCCAGGAGGCTCTGACTCTCAGCCCGAGAGTTATAGACAGTAATTAGTCAATCTGGATTTCAGAGAGAACCGTTTTGTTTAAAAGAGGAATTTAGCTCTCAGTCTATAATTTTCATAAATTTAGCCTAAGGTGGGAGATCCTTTAAGTCAAAGTCTAGAGTCTGAATCTGTCTAGATGGTCTTTTAATGCTTTTATTGTCTCTGTTAACACCCCTCTCCTCCCGCAATGGATGCCAACAGGCGGGATGTGTGTGTCTGACGGAGAGAGACAGAGAGAGTGTGTGTGTGTTTCTGTGTGTATGTGTCTCAGCAGCAGAGAGAAGGTGCTGGACCCGTGCCCTGGCTGGACACATCAAGAAGGAGACGCGTTGTCAAGAGGATCCGAGAACCATGAAAACATGAACTCGCTGATTTGACACAGCAGAGCTCAGAAGTTCAGCCAGCTATCAAGATGGGAGGGTGTTCAGTTCTATTTACTGGATGATTTATTGGGATGGGGAGAGAAAAAAAAAAACAATCCTTTTTCTAGCCTATTCATTTCTGTCCTTAATAATAACGGAATGAATAACCACAAGCTCATTAAGAAGCTAGAAGTTCAGTGAAAAGAAGGACAACTCAGACCCCAGCTGGGGAGCCTAAACCACAGTGCTCTAGCCATTCCCTCACCCCAGCAGCGCCGGCACTCGCAAAGATCTGCTGCAGGTCGCCTGGAAACTGGGATGTCGTTAAACTGAAATCTATGCAGGGGAAATTTGACTTGGGCTGCCTGCGGTTTTTCTGTCTTTACAGAAAATTGGTCTAGCTGAAAAGAGGGTTGGTGTAGCTCACGAGTGCCACCAGCCTTTGAAGCCAGGCACCGAAACCACACCTTCATTTCCCTTCTCGAAGGTCCCTCTGGTGTCAGGGTCCTTTCATTCTCCAGCTCACCTCTACCAGGAAGAGACTGGAAAGATTCACCAGCGTCAAAGTGACACTCACACAAGTTCAAAGTGGTGCACGTTTTGTTCTTTTTATTTATTTTTAACGGGAGGATAATTCCTTTGCAGTGTTGTGTTGGTTTCTACCGCACATCAGCATGAATCAGCCGCAGGTACACATACGTCCCTCCCTCTTGAACCTCCTTCCCACCCCATCCCACCCCTCTAGCTTGCCGCAGAGCACCAGGTTGAGCTTCTTCTGTCCCTGCTGTGTCCGTAAGTCTGTTCTCTATGCCTGAATCTCTATTCCTGCCCTGCAAATAGGTTTATCAGTACCGTTTTTCTAGATTCCACATAAATGTGTTAATATACATTTAAAAAAAAATAACACTATTAGAGCCAGTTCTCAGGGTGTCTTAACATTGTCAGTTCACGGTTTCAAACCCAGTAGTACTGGATCTTTAGAGATTCCCAAGTTTCCGGACTTATAGTAAAAATAATTCTCAGTGGCAATCATTCTCAATCAGAAAGAAGACCCAGATGATAAAATGAGACCCGCACTGTACAAGGCACCGAGCACCTCTCCCATGGCATGAGTCTGAGGTTCTGTACAAACGAGATGCCTCTGTTTGCTCCAAATGTATCCTCTTCAGAAATTATCAGCGCATATATATATGTATTTTTAAAAGAATATTTTCAATGTGGTTGTGTGTTCGTGCAATGAGGCCCTGGCTGAGACTTGCTATGTTAGTTTGCAGTTTCCATTAGGATGAGGGCCTTAATTAGTGGGCTCTTTGGTTAGGCAATGGTAAAGCCAAAACCCTACCCAGAAATGGAAAGACCTGAGGCGCTAATCGACTCACATCACTTCCCCTGGGTGGCTGTATCTCTGCAAACAGGGGGTGTCAAAGTCATCGAGACTGACTCTTGGAGGTGGCAGACTCACGCTCACCAGTAACCGACTGTAGGAGAGGCAGAGGGTCTACTGACCTCTACAACCCAGCCGGAAGTTGGACATGAGATCTGCTCAATAGGACCCCCCTGGGGACAAGCCTCCCTAAACACTTTCATCCGGTCCTAACTGTGCCATGAGGTTCAGCTGTAAAAGGTTTCCCCGAAACAGGAGTGGTGAGGCAGGCAGATCCAGAGAGCCAGAAACAGCCAGGACAGACCGATGGGGCGAAAGCTGGTCTGAGAGCGAGGTTCCTCCCTGGGTACCGCAGGACTGCTGAAGGCTGGAGAAGTCTGGGGCATCTGGGTTCCGTCTGAATAATTATTGGTCAGCTCCAGGGTAAGCAGACAAATTTAGGTTTTCATCTTTCTTTGAGCAAGGTTGTTAAGGTAAAGGCTAGGGTATGGCTGCTGAACCTGGCTGGCATTTCTTAGGCTATTTCCCGGCTCCAGCTCGGGTTACTCAGGATAACAGTACTTCAGGCGCCTACCTACTGACACTGTTGTGAGGATTAGGCCAGGCAACTCAAGCTAAGTGCCCAGCATGTATACAGCTGGTGCTCAACAGGTGTTTGTCACTTGTCCTATTTTTCGCTCTTGGCCTGTCCTGTTCCTTCATGTCAGGAGTTCAGGGTCCCAGCGCTGCTCTTTGCCTGCCCCCGAGATCCTGCATCGACACCCAAGCCATGCTCCCGACTGTTTCTCCCCTCTCCTTTCCCAAATCCAGACTCTCTTCCCCTCAAGACAGTCTGATGGGAGCGACGCTTCAGATGAAGCTCAGTGGGCTGCCCTCCCCACATCTGCATTTTAAAATGGAAGCGTGTCTGTAAGAAAAGCGAATCTCATGTTGGGAATGCGAAACGAGGGGAGACTGAGGAAACAGGGGAGAAGAATGTCTAAGGAGAACTTCACAGCTGTCTGCAAACTGCGAGGCCAAGTCAGATGAGGGAAGCACAGACCCAGTCTGGGTTGTTCCAAAGACAGAACACAGATCCAGTAGGAAGAGGCTGCAGGGAGGCAGGTTTGGGCTCCACAGCTGGAGGACTTTCTCCTTCAGCCCTAGAACGGTGCCTGGCACAAGGATGTAATGTCTCCATTATTAAACTATCAGCCCAGGACTGTCTCTGGCCGTAACGAGTTCCCCATCACTAGAAGTGTTCGAGTCGAGTTGACCAGGAAGTTGCTCTTTGGATAAGAATCAAATCAAATGAGGGGACTTCCCTAGTGCTCCAATGGCTAAGACTCTGTGCTCCCAATGCAGGGGCCCCTGGTCAGGAAACTAGATCCCACATGCTGCAACTAAAGGTCCCACACAATGAAGACTGAAGATCCCACATGCCACAACTATGGCCTGGTGCAGCCAAATAAATAAAAATAATTTTTTTTAAAAAAAGAAGAATCAAGTAAACAGAATATTGAGGGCTCTCCTAGCTGTAAAGTTCTATGACATTGTTATTAAAGGTAGAATTTCAACAGAGATGGAGCAAGGAACATTTTCTAAGTCCTTTTCCCAAAAGACAGTATATTGAAGTGGTTAAAGCTGAGGGTTCTGCTGCCATA